GGGGGACATCCCTGGGATGCCCCGTTCCCTGATGGGTCCCAGCGGCCTCGCCAGGCTCCGCTTTTTCTGTGTCCTTGTCCTGGGCACAAGTGCCAATGTCCCCATGGGGATCCCACAAGACCACGGAGCCAGGGGGCAGAGCCAGGATGGGGCTTGGCACACAGCAGGGTCACACCATGGGGCCAGGAGGAAACAGAGGACCCAGGAAGCCCATCCCGCCTTGCTCCCAGCACCCCTTCCCTGTCCAGGAGCTGCTGAGGGGGCAGCCGGGGGGTCCCAGGGGACAGGGTGGGATGGTCAGAGGTGGGGTGTGATGGGGGATGGGTGGCACTGACAGAGCCTCGTCCCCTCCCTGCTCCCCCGCCTGCCCAGAGCCCACCACACCCCCCCGAGATGGGGAAGCTGCAAAATTAGGTCAAAGCGTCCATTATTTAACAGAAACGGAGGAGCTGCAGCCAGGAGCGAGGGGGGAGGCTCAGAGGGGGCTGCAGCCCAGGAGAGGGGCAGGGGGAGACAGGGATGGGTCCTCACAGCCCTGGGTAAGGGAAGGATCAGGGGGACAGTGGGGGGAACAGGGGGGACAAGAGCCAGAGCTCGACCAGAATAACTTTATTAATGGCAGGAGATAAAGGGGTCCCTGTTGTCCCCCCACACCCGGCAGACCCTGCAGCCCACCCTGTGCCACTGCCAGCACTGGAACCCAGAGCAGGGCTGGCACTGGGACGGTTCTTCCTGCAGCCAGAAGGGCCCAGAAGGTTCTGGAGGCCCCAGAAGGCTCCAAAGGAGTCAGGAACAATCACAGTCTCTGGGTCATGGCAGGAGCAACACCAGACCCCAGGATCACACACAGGGGTGGGAACAGGGCCAGGAGCATCAGCACCCACCACCCCTGGCTGCAAAGGGGTTGGGAGAGCGTCTTCCAGCCTCCTGCCTCAGCTCCCATAGATATCATAATATATCATTAATAACATTAATATATTAAAAATATCAATAAAAGAACCTCAGACTGAGGGCCCCAGGGCACAACTTGACAGGCGTCCAAGGCTTTGGGGAGCCATTTCCCTGTGCCAGCCACAGCACCGAAATCCCTCCCTGGGGCCATGGGGAAGGGGCTAGTGCAGCCCCCTGGCCAGGATGCTGCCCACCAGCGCTGTGTCCTGCAGCCTGTGCTCCAGCGCCGCCTCCTCCAGCTTCAGGGAGACCTGGGAGGGAGACAAGGGACGCTCAGCACTGCACTGTTAGATCCAGACCCCAGTCCCACCACCAGGCCCTGCCACCCCCCTGGTACCTTGGCCAGCCGGGCCTCCTTGGCCCTCTTGAGCTCGAGGACCCCGCGGGACTCCAGGAGGGTGACAAGGGACAGACACTCGGCCTGGTCGACGGCAGGGAGCTGCTGCCTCCGGCACACCTGGCTGTAGGTGTCGTGGAGCTGGGGAAGGCAGGGTGGGTCATCACAGTGTTGGAGTCACAGCCAAGGGAGATCCCCCCACCCAGGGCCACCCACCCACTGTCCGGACCCAGCCCCGAGAGGGTCCTGCTGCCACTCACCTTGCCCAGGGTGACCTCGCGGGCGCGCAGGTGCCGGCAGAGCAGGAGCAGGGAGCAGAGCAGCACCTTCTGCTGCAGGGGGAAGGTGTCCTGGGCCCCTCGGGGCCCCCCCGCCAGCCGGTCCCCAAACACCTCCGAGAGCACCCGGGAGATGTGCGGGAGCCCCACGCGCTTGGGGACGGGGGACACCGGGGAGTCACCTGAGGGGCAGAGAGGGGGGTGAGAAAGGGAGGTGGCAGCGGTGCCCCAGAAAGTGACTCCAGGCCCCGATTAAGGCCAGCCCAGAGGTGCCCCCTCCTGGGTTTTAGCTCTGGCAGCATCAACTCACCCCCTGGCAGCGGCTTGAGCAGGGTCTGGCCTCGCACCTCCAGCTCCACCACCTCCACGGCGCGTCTGGGGAGGGACAGCACTGAGCACGGGGCAGAGGCACCCCTGGCACAGGTACTCCCCCGTGCAGGGGAGCCGTGGGGGCTCACAGGGGCCATGCTGGCCCTGGCTCTGCCAGGTTTTGGGGCACACACTGACCTGCAGATATCGAGGGCCTTGCGAGCGTCACCGGAGACCGCGGAGACCTTGCGGGCGCAGAACTGGAGCGCGGCTGCGTCCAGGACGGGGTCACCGGCCACCTGCCGAGGCACTGGGGCTGTCAGTGCTGCCTCCTGCACGGGCAGAGCACCCCCATGCCCTCCCCGTGTCCCCACCTGCCCCAGCAGGATGGCAGAGCCCCCCATGGGTGTCCCCCCATGTCCCCACCTGGCCCAGCCGCTCCTGCAGGATGTGGGTGAGCTGCTCCTTGGTGTAGGGTGGGAAGTGCAGCAGGCGGGGGCTGCCGGCTGGGTGGGCTCCCAGCCTGGCCAGGCTCCGATCTGTCAGGTCCAGGGCGTTGGCCAACCCTGCAAAGCAAGGAAAGGAGGAGGGTGAGGGCTGTGACTCGAGGAGACAGCAGCATGAGAGTACAAAGACAACCCTCCATCAGCGCCCCCAGAACAGGGAGGGTGCCCAGGGGGCAGTGCGACACTCCACGCACTCACCCACGAGGACAAGCCTGGAGCTGGGCAGCTGAGTCCACTCGAACAGGGTGTAGAGCACGTCCTGGCCTTTGCTCTCCAGCTGGTCCAGCTCATCCAGCACCAGGAGCCTGTGAGGGGAGTGCAGATGAGTCCCCGCTCTGCCCACCCTCTCCTTAGAGCACCCCGAGCAGGGAGAGCTGCTCCCAGCACCCTCAGGGAACCCACACCACCCCCCAGGGATGGGGAACTCACACCATGGGCCCCTGGGCTGTCAGATGCTTCTCCAGGCTGCGGATTTGCTCCCGGCCGGTGGCCGTGGGCAGCCCCAGGTGCTGTGCCAGGGCAGGGAAGATGCCGTGGGGGCTGCCCAGGGCCATGCAGTTCAGCACCACGGTCCTGCTCCGGGCCAGCTCATCCTGCCGGGAATGGGAACGTTACACCAGCCTCGAGCTTCTGCCCCCAGCCCCCCAGAGCAGCCCCCTGGCCATGGCACAGACCTTGCAGTCGAGCAGGACACGGCTCAGACAGGCCGTTTTCCCGGTCCCTGGGGCTCCGGACACGTAGAGGCTGCCGGGCCGGCGGCCCTGGACGTGCTCCCGCAGGAACTGCCGCAGGATCCCAACCTCCTTCTCCCGGCCCTGCAGCCGGTCAGGCACAGCCACGTGCAGCACCTGCTTGGCCTGCTGGTAGCAGGTACCTGCACAGGGAGGGACAGGGCTCAGGGGAGATGTGGTGCTGCCAGGACCCCATTCCATCCCAATCCCAGCTGTATCCCCATCCCTGGCTCTATCAACACATCCCTATCCTCATCCCTGGCTCCATCCCCACCCCTGTATTCCCCAGTTCTACCTCCATCCATTCCCCCATCCCTGCCCACACAAACCTTCCTGCCGGAAGAGCCTGGTCCGTGGGTGCTGCCCATTGACCCCTGAGCTCCGGGGGGTCTCTGGCCCCCCACTCCTCGGGGTCGGCCCCGGGCTCTTGGGCTGCTCGGGGGAGGCCGGGGGGTCCCCGAAGAGCAGCCGCCGGCCCCGGTTCTCCTTGCTGCGCTTGGCCGGGGAGCCGGGCAGGGCCTGGGGGACGTTGCAGAGGTTCTCGTCACCTGCAGGGGGACAGGGAGAGGTGACCGGGCCGCTCTCCCTGGGGGGGCTTCATCACCTCCCAAACCCCGCGGGAGCAGCTTCTCCTCCCAAAATGGGGGTGAAGCGACAAACGCAGCTGGGCCAAAAGCAGGTGGAGGTGGAAGCCGAGCCCATCAGCCTGCCCCGGTATCCCCAGGGCGAGACTCCCGCCCTGCAGGGGTGGGGTGGGCAGAGGATGGGCTCCCCACCATTCCCGGGGGGTCCGAGGGCAGGGGGCAGCGGGAGGACTCACCCAGGCGCTTGCGGGGGCTCAGGGGCTGCACTTTGGGGCTCAGGGGCTGCGCTGCGGCCCGGGCCGAGCGTGTGCCCGGGCTGGCCTGGCCGGGCGAGCCCGAGCCCTTGGGGCGCGGCGAGGGGCCGGAGTCGCTCTTGGCCGGGGGGGCGGCCCCGAGGCGGCGGGCGCTCCTCGTGCGGGGGAAGCCGATGGTGGTCTGGCTCTGCGGGCTGCGGCTGCTCATGGTGGGGGGCTGCGTGGGGAGGGCGACAGCGGTCAGGGGGGGACCCCGATCAGGCGGGGGAGACCCCCAGTCCCGCGGCTCCCGGGCACCCCCCCCAGCCCATCCCACACCAGCCCTGTCCCCCATCTCCGCCCCTGGTACCGCGCGGCACGACCCTGAGCCCCCTGACCCCCATATTTCCCCCGACCCCCGTGTCCCCCTCGTGTCCCCCGTGTCCCCTCACCCTCTCGCTGCCACCACGACCTTCTCGCGCCAAATCAGCCCCGGCTCCGCAGTTCGCGCCACCAGCCCGAGCTGGCCACGCCCCTTCCTCCCCATTGGCTGCGCCCCCGCCGCCCCCGCCAATCGCAGAGGCCGGAGGAAGGGCCGCAACACAGCGGCCAATCGGCGAGCGCGCCCGAGACATGGCGGAAGGCGCGCGGAGCATGCTGGGAGCTGTAGTCTGGTCTGGACCAGTACTCCCAGTACTCCCAGTAACGCCCAGCCCGTCCCCGTGTGCTCCCAGCGCCTCCATTCCCCATCCTGCCTTCCCACTGCCACCATTATCCCCCCATCCTGCCTCTCCCTGCTCCCAGCACTCTCCATGGTGCCTCCCAGCACTCCCAGCATCACCCCCTTCCCGCTTTCCTGTGCTCCCGGTGCCCGCAGCCCTCCCATCCCGCCTCGCCATGCTCCCAGAGCACACAATCCTGCCTTCCCAATGGTCCCAGTGCCACCAGTACCCTCTGCCATGCCTCCCAGTACGTGGAGTGCCCTATCTGCAGCCCCTGGGGCCATCACAACAGGGGTCCCTGGCTACCCCCCCTTCTCCAGCACCCCCTAGACAGTGCCCTTGACAATCATTTATCACTTTATTACTTTTATTTAAATGCGATTTCCAGCTCCTCCAATTCCCTCTGTTCCCTCTTAGGAGGGTCCCTCGCTCCGGGAGGGGCAGAACCGTGTTGACCCTTTTATGTAACCCAAAGGGCAGCGCTGGGGGGGCTCATCCTCCAGAGAACCCCCCCAAACAAACACCCCTCACCCTTCACCCGCATCGCTCCAACCCCAACAGGGAAAGGTCCATCGCCATAGAAAAAAAACCACCCAAACCAACCCCAAACCGTTCTTGGGGAGGGGGTGCAGCCCCCCTGCAGCCCCCCCACCATCCTCCTACGGCGCTTGACAGGTACAAAGAGATCAGTAACTACGTTAGTGTGACCCCCCCCGCGGGAACACGGAGAGTCCGGCCGGGACCACCCGTCGGACAGGGAGTGTGTAAGGCAAAACGTCACTGGCCCCCCCAGGGACCCCCCAATGTGCCCCCTGACGTGTCAGAACCAGCACAAACTGCCCCCCCCCCAAGATAATTAGTGTTTCCTTGTTAAAATGCTTGAGTTTGGGGGTTCAGCAGTGAAAGTCAGAGGACCCCCCCAAACCCCAGCCCAGCCCAGGGTGGGGAGTGCCGGTTTGAGAGGGGACAGGGATGGGGGTCCCCCCCACCCAGCGCTGCCAGGGTATCCCTGGATGGTCCCACTCACCCTCCCCCTCTAATGGCTCCTGTGCAAAAAAGCAATGGGCTGTGCCGGGGTAACAAGGCTCTCCCAGGATAATGAGGTTCCAGCGGGATAATGAGGCTCTCCAGGGATAACCAGGCTCCCCAGGCCTGTCCCTGCTCCCCCTCGCTCCAGAGGTCTTGTGGCATGTCCATCCCCAGCCCCTCTCCACCAGCCCCCTGGTCCCCAAAGCCGGCACACGGCTCAGCCCAGAGTCCGGTGCCCAGCTCCCAGGCTGATCCCTGCCCAGGATCCATGAGGAGGAACGAGGGATGGACCCATCCAGGCTTGCCATGAGTCCCGAGGGGTGCATAGATGAGGGGGGGGCTGGTGGAGGGCGCTGGGCTGGGCGGATCCGCTGGTCCTGGGGAAGGCGGAGAGGCCGGGAGTGTGCCATGCAGGATCCGGGGGGTTGGGTGCTAGGAGGGGTCCGGCTGAGGGAGGGGAAGGAGGTCCGTGTGTCTGCTCCGGAACAATCCACCTGCACAGCCCGGTTTCACCTGGGGATGGGGGGCAGAGGGGGGGCCCCACGTGTAGCTGCAAGACAAGGAAGGAGGTTGGAAGCTGGAGCTCCGCAGAGCCGGATCCGGCACGTCTGCTTTCCCTCCTCCACACCCCCGCGCCAGCTGCCGGGCCCCCCCTCCCTCCCTCCCCGAGGAGATCTGGAGCCTGGGATTTGCGCCTGGCAGCAGCAGCAGCCGCACCGAGCTCGGGGCTTTTCAAACCCGCATTAAACATTCATGGCTCTAAAAATAAACGAGCATCCCATTCTCCCCGGAGTCTCCGCCGGGATCCGCAGAGCTGACGCGCGGCACCAAGGGCACTTTGAGCTCTGCCGGGTCTGAGCGCCGGCGCTCAGGGCCCAGCCCAGGATACACAGAGGGGCTGTGCCCCCCGGCCCCTGTCCAGCCCCAGCTCCAGCTGCAGGGTCCTTCAGGACCCCCCTCCGGCACTAACGGAGCCGGGAAAATGAGCCCTGCGGCATTTCCCAGCAGGTGGGATGGGACACCCACACAACCCAAATTCCCAGCCCCCGCCTCCCGTGGAGAACAGCGAGCTGCTCTTGGTGCTCAGCACCCCCAGGAAAGGGGCTTGGCAACCCCAGGAACGTAGGCAGGGCCTGGGGCGAGGCCACTGCACCATCCAGCCTGCACGGGGACAAACACGACCCCAAGGGCACAGGAGGGGAAAGGGACTGCAGGATACCCCCTCCTCCTCCTCCAAAACACCCCCCCCCATCCTCCTCACCTCTGTTTGTTTTGCTGGGGTAGATTCTCTGGAAGTATTTATATTCCTCTGGGGCTGGGAAGTCTTCAACGGGATGAAAGGAGTATTTGGATTCAAAGTCATCTGCGGAGAAGGGGCAGAAGAGGCAGGTGAGGGAGGGGGGCTCTGCGGGAGCCCAGCCCAAGCCATGAGGCTCTGCTCCGAGGGGGATCCGTGCGGGGGTCCCACTCACCCAGGAATGCTCTGACAGTGGAGATGGAGTCGCGGTGCCCGTTCCGCACGGGCGGTGGCGGCGGCGGTGGCCCGGCCGGGGTCCTGGTGGGCGGTGGCGGGGGCTTCCCCCGGCTGGGGGGCTCGGCAGGGCCGTGCAGTCTGTAGGGGCGGGGGTGGGGGCATCGCGCCCCCATTCCGCAGCATCGGCAGGGGGCGGGGGCGCTGCAGGGAGAGCGGGGTCAGCAAACGCGGCATTCCCGGGGCAAACCCAAGGACATCCCCCGGAGCATTCCAGGCCAGTGGCTGGGCTAGACCACAGCCCAGGGATGCTCCTACACAGTTCCCAGAGATTTCCTGCTCGTTCCTGACATCTGCATTCCTCATCCCTCCAGCAGCTGCAGTGCAGCGACCAGCCAGCCCGGTGCCCCCCCAGCTCACCGCCCACCCCGGGGGGCTGCTCCGGCCCCATATGCTCCCAGCCCACTCTGGGCACGGGTCCCTCCACAAAAGGCATCCGAGGAGCAGCTATGAGCCAGCACATCCCGGAGTCTGAGGGCAGCAGCTCCCCATGGAGCCAAGACACTGCCAGCCAGGGCTGGAAGCCACGTCTGCAGTGCCACCGAGGCGGTGACAGGACCCCCGGCCCCTCCGACCCACCTCTCGCTCCTGCCCAGCCTCCCGCGGAGGCTCGGTGGCAGTTCGTGCTCCTCATTAGCCTAATTACAGCCGAGCTGACAGCGCAGCTCCCCAGCCGTAGCTCTAAGGAGGGATTCTGGCAGGACCAGGAGGACGGAGCGGCTTGGCCGGGGCCCAGGCGGGAACTGCGGTCTGGACACGGAGCCCAGGAGTGCACGGGGGGGCACCGGGGCACAGCCAGCGCCAGCCCCGGCCACAGGGACACGCTCCCAAGGGCTGCACCGCCACGGAAAAGGCTTCTCCTTGCTCTGCCACGGCTTTTTGTCACCCCCCCAGTGACATTTAGGAAGCTCAGGGGAGCAGAGACAGACTATACAGCTCTGGCTCTGCCGTGTTCGCACCTCCCACCCCACAAAAGCACATGGACCTGTGGGCAGGAGCTGCCCAGACACAACCCACCACCAACACCAGGCTGGGAGGAGCTGGATGGGCATGGGACATGACAGAGGACATGTGTTAAACATGACACTGCAGCCACTGCCCTGCTCAGCCCCTACACACGACGGGCAGAATCAGAGATCCACTTAGGCTGAAAAACACCTCCAAGATCATTGACTCCCAACCTGTGACCAATCCTGACCTTGTCAACCAGACCTGAACGCCTTCAGGGATGGTGACTCCACCTCCCTGGCCAGCCCCTTCCAATGTTTAATCAACCCTTCTGTGGAACCTCACTGTGCCCTGGAGCCAACTCTTCCCACTCCCTTCTCACAAGCCCCACCACCACCCAGGGACCCCCACAACCCACCCTGGGCATCACGGAGCAAACGGCTCTTACCTGCTCCGCGGCTCGGGGGGTCTCTGGCCGGCGGGGGGGGGCGGCTGCTCTGCAGGGAGGGGGAGGCAGCAGTGGGCGGCGGTGGGGCCAGACCCCGCAACGGGCCCGGTGCCTTCCTGTGCAAGGAGTTGTGTCTCTGCGGCAGCTCCGGGGCCGACTCACTGCCGGGGCTGGAGGGGCCGTTGGGGACACCGGGCGGTTGCCGGTAAGGGGGCGGCGGGGGGGCGAGAGACTGGCCCTGAGCCCCTGAGCCCGTCCGGAGGCTGACTGGGGAGGAGGGGGCTTGACGGGCGGCGGGGCGGGGGGTCCGTCCCTGCTGCCGGGCAGGCGCTGTCCCGGGGTGGGCGGCAGCGGCTTCTCCCGGTTGTAGGGCGAGGCCTTGGCCTGCGCCGGAGGGGGGGCTGGGGGGGCGGCAGCGCGGCGTCCCGGCGGCGGAGGCGGTGGGGCTGAGGAGCTGTGCTTCATGCCGGTGCCGCCAGCCGTGCCGGGCCGGGACAGGTCGGGCAGGGAGGGTCTCTGCGTGCGTGGCAGCTCCGGCGGGGACCCCCGGCTGCTGTCGGCATCGTCCTGAGGGCGGCTGTTGCTGGCCGGCACCGGGGGCCTGGGGGCGGCTGCGCGGGAGCCGGGCACTTGTAGGGTCTGTTTGGTGGAGCTGTCTGTGGGGAAGGAGAGCACAGTGAGGGCACTCACAGGGATCTGTTTGGGGGAGCTGTCTGTGGGGAAGGAGAGCACAGTGAAGGGTCAGGAATGGCACAGGATTGGCTCCGTGCCCTGTCCCTGTGCAGAGCTGGGGCCGAGGAGGGCCAGGCCACACAGATGTCTGGCACAGGCAGGGAGCTGGCAGCGAGCACAGCCACACACACGGCTCCTCTCTCACCGCTCTACTCTTTGATCACCACAGAGAACACCAGAGAGAAACATTCAGCAACACACGCGGCTCCTGCGCGCTACGAGAGGTCCACATGTGGGACACTGTGGCACGGGGAGGGCACAGCCAGCCTGTGCCACACAGAGGGCGGGACTTGGGGTCCTGCCTCTGACCAGCTGAAACCCCCAGGGAAACACAGCAAGATCCTCGACCCCCTCCTGCTCCAGGCCCTCCCAGGAACCCCACGCAGACCACAGGCAGGTGGCCGTTACCTGAGCTGTCCTTGGCTCCCACAGGTCGGAGCTTGGGAACGCCACCTTGGAATAGGCCACCCTTGGGCTGGATGGCGGCTGAGCCGGAGCCGTAGCTGCCGCCGCCACTGCCCTTGGGCTCTGGAAGGAGGGAGGCAGAGAGGTTAAGCCTGGAATTATCCGCTCCTCCAATGAGGAGCTGCTGGGAAGCAGATGGGTGAGAGCCCTGCTGAGCACAGCAGTGCCCAGCGCGGGGCCGGGAGCCCCCCGGGGGGACTCACTCTCGAGGATGGGCGCGCTCCGGTCGTTGATTTGGGTCACTTTCCTGAGCTTGGTCCCTTTACAGATGTCCTGCAGGAGGGCCCCGCGGCCCCGCTGCTCCTCCCGGCTCAGCTTGGGCGGTTCCGTGTTCGCCTGGGGAGGAGCAGCAGCTCAGCACCTGCCCTAGACACCCCGACCCACGGCACGGGCACAGCCCCACTCCTCATTCCCACCTCCCGGGGCACCCACAGCCTTCTCCAGCACCACTTCCTCTGGCAGGTGGCCCCATGAGGGGACAGGCCACCTCCCTGCCTGTCACGAGGTGACCCCTACCTGACCGAGGGTGGGGGGCGGCGGGGGCCGGGGGCGGCGGCGGGGGAGGAGGGATCGGCATCCTGGCCTGGCTCCCGGCGGCTCCGGCTGCTCAGTGCTGGGGGCAGGCCTGGGCACTCATGCCTGCGGGAAGGGAGGAAGCGGTGAGGGAATGGAGGGGAAAGCCCGCGGAGAAACACAGCCCCGGGGTGCTGTGCTGGTGCTGAGCTGGAGCTTCTGTGGGGCAGCAGCTGGATCTGCACTCCCAAGTCCTCCCAACACCCTGGAGCAGCAGGTCCCAGAAGTGGGACAGCACATCCCAACTCCAAATCCCCAGGGCCCCCAGAGAGCCTGGAGATGATACCCAGGACGTGTCTCACACGAGGACCTCGCTCAGCAGAGAAAACCCAGCCAAGCAGCTCTGCCACCATCCATCCAGCTCCTCCAGCTGCAGCCAGAGAATGCTCATGTGGGAATGTGACAGGAGCCTGCAGGAGGCACAGCCAGCCCTGGCACACGGCCCCGGGGCCTCTCCGGCCACGGCCAGGGTAAATCTGCCAGACGTCTCCGTCTCTGGAGCAGCCAGAGCAGTGCGAGGCTGTCCCTGTGGCTCCCAACAACAGCATCAATAACCCCCCAACACGGAAGGCTCTCTGCACCCCACAGCTCCAAAGCCCCAACCAAAGCTCTCCAAGCAGCCAGGGAAACCAGCTTTCCCAAGATGGATCTGATGATGTTCCAACCCATCTCATCACCAGCCCAAAACGAACCTGTCCTGGCACCACAGCTCCCCTGGAACAGCTCCTGGGGCCCGGTAGCTCCGGTCAGCACCGGAGACTGAGCACAGAGAGAGGGGGGGACAGGAAGAGGAGCCTGAATCACCGGGAAGTCACAGTTCCCTGTCAGGCTCGTGCCACTGACAGCAGCACTCAGGTAGGGCCTTCCTGCAGCACCCACTCAGGGAATAGGAATGTGATGACCGGAGGCCCCACTCACCACATGGAGAGTCCCAGGTGCTCGGGGCAGCCCCAGAGGCAGGGGACAAATGTCCCTCTCTGGGCCACAGACATCCTTCCCTCAGGAAAACCTATTCCACAGTCACTAACGGGGACCACAACACCAACATGAGGAAAGGACAGGGCAGTTTCACACCTGAAACTCCCCATTTCTGACCCCGAGGGCAGTGACAGAGGCCACAGGAACAGCCCCTGTCCCCGTGAAAGTTCCTTTGTGACCCAGGTTTGCATCAGGTATTAACAACCAGATCCCTCATCGGACTCATCTCCTGCTGGATAAACTACAATTTACTGATCCCATGGGACACAGGTCCATCATCACCTGTCAGACATGTGAGAATGGGAAGCACGGAGCAGCCGCACAGCTGTGATGCCAGTGGCTCCCCTGCCCTCGGGAAACCACCAGTTCCGTGGTTCAGGGAAATAAATAAATCCATAAACTGCCTTTTAATTAAGATCAGCCCTTCTACCCAGTGAGAATTCCTCAGCTACAGCCTTGTCAGGAAGGCTTTCCTCCCTCTATCTCCCGGCGTTTTCCGAGCCACCTGAGGCTCCCAGTTCCCTGGTGGAAGTGCCCTCCACCGTCAAGCCCCAGCTCGAGGCCTCACACCCAAGAGCCAACAATCCCGATCCCCCAGACACTCCAGAATCGGGAATGACGCCCAGCAAACACATCCAGCCTGTGCCTTTCCCACCAGAGCAGGATCACAGAGACGGCTCCCAGTGTGCTTGTCTGGGACGAGTTGGAACAGGAACGCTTTTCCCTGTGATCCCCCGCAGCGGGATCGCGGGGCCAGGATGGCACGAGCTGCTCCGGGGCAGAGCCCCGGCCGTGCCGGATCAGCCGCCGGAGGGAATTAGCAGGGATGCAGCGCCAGGTAACGAGACTCCCGACTCGGGCTCGTGTGTCACAGCCCTGAGCCAGCGCAGGAGCCGTGCCAGGGCCGTCACCTCCGCTCCCGAGCCACGGGAACGTCACACATCACGTCCCTGCTCCAGCTGGTTACTCCCAGGGTGACACTTCCCTCGGTGGCACTCAGGGTCACAGGAGCCGCCGTGACAGGGACGCACCATCCCACAGACAGAGAGACAGACAGACAGACAGGGGTTTGTCACAAGGTTCCCCCGTGTGCCCTGCTGACCCTCAGACACCCTGTGACAAGTGGAGCAGCTCCAGACAACCCCACAAGGGCAATCCCACAGGACTTGTAGGGCGAGGAGGGTATTTCTCCAAACAAATCACGAGTCACCATCTCCCCGTTTTTAGGGTGCCCTCACAGCAAAACCTGCGCTCGGATCCAGGCTCTGACCTAGAAGAGCAAGAGGAGGGGAGGGAAGAGTTTAAGCTAAAGCAGCTTGAGGATAAACTGGAGCTGAATTCCCGAGAAACAGGTCATTCCGTTCGAGCACACGGCCCCGTTAGGGCTGGGGATTAACAGTAAAGGTCACTTTGAAAAACCAAAACCGAGAGGCCCCGAACTCGGCACACGGCTGGGAAAAGCCGAGGAGAGCTCCGGGTGGGAACGCTGCCTTTGAAATACAGCCTGGACCTTTCATGTGCAAGAAGACAGACCCAGCTGATACAGATTAGGGAGACACAAGCTAAATCCTGCAGGAAAAGAGAAAAGGGGCAGTTCTCCTCCCAGCACTGCTCAGCACCCCTTCCTGCCTGGCAGAAGCCATCCCGGTGAAGCAACACTCCGACTTCTCCTTTGTTCTTCCTTACCAGGATCCTTTCACCAAGACACATCGGAGCTCCCTGTGCTCACGGGGAAAGCGGTTGGGGAGAGCTGAATCCAGAGACACCCGCAGATCAAAGCTGGGCTGAGGCAGGAGGGGCAGGTTTGCACAGTGCCTTTGCTTTTCCAATCCAAACCAAACCCCAGGAGAGCTCTGAGCAAAGTGTGAGGAAAACAAGGTGTGAAAAGCTGACCCTTGAGACGAGGGAGAGATCAGGAGGTTGAGGTGACCCTGAGGAAAGCCACTTACAGAACTGCTGCTGCTGCTCCGCCGGCTGGAGCCCACCATGGCCACAGACCCCTCAGCAGTGTTCTGGATCAGCACCTCCCTGTCACCCCCAGGATCAAAACACCATTAAATCCCAAGAATTCGCCCTTCAGCTGCCCCTTGTCCCCTAAAACAGCTGGATTAGGCAGATCCAGCCCGGCCAGGGTGACACACCACATTTTCCAGGTGTTTTTGAGGCCCCGTTTGCCGTGGAGGGATTTAAAACGCCCTCCCCAGCAGCAGCCCCGATCCAGCTCATCCCGGGGGGATTGCTGCTGGAGCAGGACAGGCAGCAGTGACCTTCAGCCGCCTATTTCCTCGCTTTTCAGGGGGATTTGGGCTCCGGGGCGGATTTGTATTTCTCATTTGCAAGCCCGAGCTGCAGCGCCTCATCCTCAGGGAGGCTTTGAACTGCAGATCAAGAGGAATTTCCAGCCTCTGATGTCGGTGCAGAAATGCGGCCGCACCGGTTTGGGAACGACTTCCAAGGCTGGACCTCTCCAACACCCGCCCCCGCGTCTTTATCTTCCCCCCCTCTTCCCATCCAAACCCGCAGCTCCTCTCGCTGCCCCCTCCCAAATTTCCGAGCCTGTCCCCGCAGCCTGACATTCCCGCCCGCTCCCGCAGCGGAGCTGAGGATGCCACATAAATAATTTATCCTGAGCGACAGCCATCGCAGGATTTAAGGTCACTCGGGCTTTTAAAATCCTATCAGCATGCTTCCCGAGCGCGAGCTGCCAGCTCCATTTGGAGCATCCCGCCGAGCCGGCGCATCCCTGCCTGCAGACAGACGGACACGCTCCGGCCCCGCGGGATCCAGACGCTCCCTGTGAATTATTAACGACCCGCGCGCTCTGACGAGGCGTTTTTACCAAAACCCCCAAACTCTGGAGTTTCTCCGTCCTCAGGGGTGGATTCCACAGCCTCAGTTTCCCCATTTCCAGCTTTCGCAGTCTCGGCTTCTCCATTCCCAGCTTCCAGCCTATTTCCCTCTCCCAAGCTTCCACAGCCTGTTTTCCATTCCCAAGCTTCCACAGCCTCCGTTTCCCATTCCCAGCTTCCAGCCTCAGTTTCCCCATTCCCAGCTTCCAGAGTCTCCATTTCCCATTCCCAGCTTCCAGCCTCAGTTTCCCCATTCCCAGCTTCCAGCCTGTTTCCCTATCCACAACTTCCAGAGCCTGTTTCTCCATTCCCAGCTTCCAGAGCCTGTTTCCCTACCCACAATTTCCACAGCCTGTTTCCCCATTTCCAGCTTCCAGCCTGTTTCCCAAGCTTCCAGAGCCTCAGTTTCTCCACTTCCAGCTTCCAGCCTGTTTCCCCACCCACAATTTCCACAGCCTCTTTCCCTCTCCCAAGCTTCCAGAGCCTCAGTTTCCCCATTTCCTGTTTCCCCATGCACAACTTCCAGCCCTAGTTTCCCCATTCCCAGCTTCCACAGCCTCTGTCTGTCCATTCCCAGCTTCCACAGCCTCAGTTTCCCCTTTCCAAGCTTCCACACCCCCCTCAGGAGACAAGGGGAAGAATCACATCCCGAAACTCAGGCTGCACCCCCGGAAGGGAAAAGCAGGAAAAGCCCGTCCCGCCAGGCCCACGGCCTTCCTTGCCTCTCCCCTTTTCCTGGGAAGGGAAAGGAAGCCGGGAAGGGCTGGCTGAGTGTGATCCCGAGACGGGGTTATCCCGATGGAATGTGATCCCGCAGCGAGGCGAGCGCTCCCGGTCCGACGGCCTTCCTGCCCACGCTGCCTTCGGCATCGTGGGCAGGAAGGCCGTCGGACCGGGAGCAGGGAGTCGTGGATGCGCTTCCCTGTGGCTGCCACATCCCTGGAAGCGCCCAAGCCCGGGTGGGATGGGGCTTGGAGCAACCTGGGATAGCGGGAGAGCGCCCGTGCCAAGGGGGTGGGAGCGAATGGGATTTGAAGTCACTTCCAACCCGAATCATTCCGTGATTCCAGGACACCCACGGTCATCCCCTGGGGTCAAAGAACCCCCTCCCCATCCTTCTGCTGCACCCCCAAAAGTGGGTGTCACCCTCTCCTCTCCAGAAAGGCCCCAGGCCCCTCTAGAGAAGAGTGGGGGGTCCCATGGGGTCATAGTGGGGGTCCCACAGGACACGCAGGGAGGGGTCAGTTTGGAAAGGGGTCCCGAGAATCAGTGTGGGGAGCCCCAGAGGTCACAGTGGGGTCCCAAACACCCTAGGGTGGAGGTGCAGGGGGTGTCAGTGTGATGGGGGGTCACACTGGAGGTCCCAGGCAATCCCAGGGTGGGTTCTTGGGGAGGGGTCCAGGGCGTCAGCGTGGGGGTCCCAAAGGACAGGGGACCAAGGTGAAGGGGAGGGGTCCACGATTGAGATCTCAGCACCCCCGGCCTCACCGGTTCTGGGCACCACCAGGATGGGGCCCGGGGGGGTCCTGGCGAGGGGTCCCTGAGGTGACCCAGGGGGTCAGGCTGGGGGTCCCACAGGGGTCACAGGGGTCAGCGTGGAGCGGAACAGGTGATCTGTGTGGTGGTTCCAGCTCCCCAGTCCCGTCGGTTCCTAACACTCCATAGCCGGTCCGGGGACCCCTCAGCCGGCCCTGGGGACCCCTCAGCCGGCCCGGACACCCCCGGGCCCCGCGGAGGCCCCGCCGGGCCCGGGCTCAGCACAGGCCTCACACGCCCACCCGAGTCAACACACCCTTCACAGCGGCGCCGCGTCCCGCAGCCCCGGCCCCCCGCGGCCCCCTGAGCCCCGGCCCGGCCCCCCGTTCTCCCCGAGCCCCCCGGGCCCTCCCCGCTCACCCGCGGCTCCTCCCGCCGCTCCCGGACCCGGCCCCGGCACCGCCGAACGAAATGGCGGCCGCGGCCCCTCTGCGCCTGCGCGGCACAACAGGATGTGGGGAGGGCACGGCGGGGCCTCCGCGCCATGACGGGGAGGTCGGGCGGCTGTGTGGGGAGGGGGCCGCCATCTTGGGAAGGTCACGGCAGCAGCGGGAGCGACCGGTGCCGCCGCCTGCCAGTGACTGGTGGGAGAGCGGTGCCACCGAGAAGGGACTCCCCGCTCCGTGCCGAGCCGCCGCTGCGGGCTCGAGATGCGGCGATGAGCGCGGCTACAGCGCCACCTCCACCATATTGAGAAGGGCACACGGAAACCCCGGCGGTCGCCATGTTTAGAAGGTCGGTGGGTGGTTGTGGGCGCCGCCATGTTGGGAAGGTCACGGCGAGCCCCACCCCGCGCCGCCGCCACCTTGGGCGGGTCGAGCCGGCCCGGTCGGTTCCGGGGCTGTGACGTCACCCGGGAACCGCGCCGTGACGTCACTCCCCAGCATGACATCACTCCCTCGCATGACATCAGAGTCGGGCGCCGGGACAGACGTTTATTGGGGCTCCCCCCCCCACTCCCACCCCACCCCGGCCTGTTTTGTTGGGGTTGTGTTGTTGGTTGGTTGGTTTGGTTTGGTTTGGTTTTTTTTTTCCTTTTTTTCCTCCTTTTTCTTAAAAAATAAATGTACAATTCCGGACAGCGCTCGGTACAAAATATACACGTCTGGGGAAAGGGGGGGCGGGGGTACATACAAAAATAGAGGGGGCGAGGGGAGAGACTCAGCCCCCTGGGATCCCTGCGCCCCCACCAGGGAAGGGGGCACCGGGAGAGGGGATGTGCCAGGGTCCCCAAACCCACCCACCCACCCCCAGAGGGTGGGGGCAGCACCCACTGCCGGGGCTGGGCAAAGTGCGTCAGTGCTGGGGGCACCGGGCCCCCGGGTGGGGGTCCCGGGTTGGGAGCTCTCGGGGCCTGGGGGGGCCCCCCAGGGTTTGGGGGTCCCCGGTGGGGCCCCCCCCCCTCACTGGCTGCCGGGCTCCAGTTTGTAGGAGAGCTCGAAGAGCAGGTTCTGGTTGTCGATGACGCGCAGCTGCCGCACGTAGGCCTTGGTTTGCAGCTGGGCCGGGGACGCCTCCAGCTCCAGGCCTGGGAATGGGAACGGGAATGGGATGGGAACGGGAATGGGAATGGGATGGGAACAGCGATGGAGGAGTGCGGGGAGGCGGGGATTGCAGGGGTGGGGGTGAAAAGACACAAGGTGGCAATGTGGGAAGGGGGATAAAGGGATGGAGGGGATGGGGGTGAAAGGAAAATGGGGATGTCAATGGGAGAACAGGGATGGAGGGACACGGATGAAGGGATAGAGGGGAGGGGATGCAGGGATGGAGGGACAGGGGTGGGGATGCAGGGATGGAGGGATGGGGATGAAGGGATGCAGACACAGGGGATTTGGGGATGTAGGGGTGCAGGACATGGACAACAGGGTGCGAGGATGCAGATGGGGGTGCAGCCACACCCCTGACCCTCAGGGCCAGCACTGAGGGTTCGGGGTTGTGGGGGACCCCCTCCCTGCCCCCTCCCCAGGACCCCCCTGTCCCCCCCTCACTCACAGAGGGGGCGGCTCCGGTACTTCCTCACGGTTCTCACTTTCTCAGCGATGCAGTGCTGGGGCAGAGAGAGACCCCCCGAGTCAACCTTGGCCCCCCAGGGACCACTGACCCCCCCAGGGACCACTGACCCCCTCAGGACTCTCCTGCACAACCCCCACCATCAGGGACCCCATCCCAGGGGTCCTGCTCTGCACCCCAGGGATGCTGAACCCTCACCCCCCACACACAGGCAGGGGACCCCCAGCCCCTCAGAGGGGTCCCCCCTGCTCTGCCCTCACCCCGGGGGTCCCTCAGCCACTTTTCCCCCCCCCCCAGCACCCACCAGTTTCTCCACGTTGACCAGCCCGTCCAGGAGGGTCTTGCTGCCTTCGTGCAGGAAGGTCAGATCTGGGGGTGAAGGGGGGTCAGGGGGGGTCCCATGGGGTCTCAGCAGGACCCTGACCCCCCATGGGACACGGGGAGCCCCCCCCTCACCTTTGAGGATGAGTGGCACGAAGGGGATCAGGGGGGCTTCATCTTGGCCAGCACCTCCCGGTAGGTCTTGTGGTTCCTGCAGGGATCCTGGGGGCAATTGGGGGAGTCAGGGTTTGGGGGGTCCCTGGATCTCCCCCCCATGCTGGTGGCCATGGGCACGGGGCTGGTGGTGTGGGGTGGTGGTAAGAACACCCCAGAACACCCCAGGAAAGTCCCCTGCCCACCAGCTCCCCAAATACCGGAGTAGGGGGGGGCCTGGGGACCCCTAACCCCATTTCTCACCGTGAGGTTCTCAAACTTCCGAAACAGGTTCTTGAATTTCCCTGGGAGCTTCTGGAAGACAAATCAAGGGTGGGGGGGCATGAGAATCCACCAAGTCAGGGAGCACCTGGGGGGGGGGTCAAGGAACACCCAAGAGGGGGTCTGGAAGAACCCAGGAGGGAGCCAGGAGCACCCAGAGGGAGGCCAGGAGCACCCAGGAAAGGGTCAGGGAGCACTTGGGGGAGGGTAGGAAGGCCCAGGAAGGTCTGGGAGCATCCAGGGGGGTGAGGGAGCACCGGTTGGAGGGGGATAAGGGCCCCCCAACCCCTCACCTCCCAGGTGAGGCGCAGGC